CACATTGTTCAGACTTGTAATGGACTGGGTGCTCCTAAGACAGCAGCACCACCACGCCCATGCATTACATCAGAGATGTTTGCCTCCTCTTCAGATCTGGATGTACAGGCTGATGTTAGGTCCTTGTCTACTTGGAACTTTGTGATCAGTCGCAGATTATGGAGAAAAGTGTTCCACAGTGACGGAAAGTCACTATGTTCTTTATTGGAATGGAGTTAGCTTCCCCCAAAGGGAGGACATCATAACAAGTACAATAACTATTACTACTTAATATTCATTAAGCACCATGTGCCCCTCTACTGCGCACTTTACATTTATCATCTCATTTAATCCTTGTCTGCAAAAGAAAACTGAAATAAGGACTGAGGTCCAGCATAGGTTACAGATGAGGAAACTGGGACTCTGGCATGTGAAATAACTATCCCAGGTTCACACAGTTGTGGGAAATTGAAATCATAACTCAAAACAACCACTGGACCCCGGGAAGCATGCCTTGTTGACCACCATCCAACGTGGCTTCCCATCATCCCAGCATAATCAACTAACATGAAGTCACAAAGTTGCACCAACACAGGAGCATTTATGGATGCTGTGTACCAGAGCCGTTATGAGGGCCGTTTGCAGGGAAGTAAGTTCTCACTAAATTCCTGCCACACTGATTGCTAGTCCAAAACGGCTTTGACTCCACTAGACACTTACTCGGTAAGCTTTTACGGTATTTCCAAATGTGAATTTAAATTCACGGAGTGTGACCTGAAGCTCATCTTCCATAGGAGCTTCCCTTCTCCTTATATACTTACTTACTTACGTCTAATCATCCTCAGAATGACAGTTTGGAGAACTGGAGGCAAGATGTATATACACCACAAGGCCTCATTGTAGAACATGCTGATCTTTGTTGTTGTTGCTATTGTTTGTGGGGGGGGGTTCAATTTTGCTTTATGTCATTGAGGCTTATCTTAAGATATTTAGCTTCAAAAACATCGCAATTTTTTTTAATTTTGGTCATTTGCTTTTTACAAAATGGTTTTAAGGTATAATTTGTGGCACTGACACCTTAAAACCATTAAAGTAAAGGGAATTTTTAAATATTATACACAGAATGACAAGAACCAATTAGATGGAAGTTTAAACTAAATATATAAAACTAGGACTATGGAGACAGACCCGGAAAACTAAAGATACAGGGAATCTAGACTCTGGATTGGCTCAAAATGACAATATTAGGAAATTTTTATCCTAAAACTTCTTTAGAAATGAGTTATCCCATTACCCCTACTTCCAGGCGAAAAAACAAAAAATTAAGGTCCACTGTGCTGGGGAAACTTGTCTGGGATCACATAGGTAGTCAGGACCAGAAGGGCCATATTTTTAATTCCTTGTGAGGCTTGTCACTTACACTCACCACTTGCATTTTTTGTTTCCTATTTAATTTTGTCCCTGACCTTTTTCCCTCATTTCCTTCACCAACTGGTATTTTTCATTAAAGACTAAACTGGCCCATTTGGCAAGAGACTCACATTCAAGTTCCACTCCTGCCACTAACTCACTGTGGGACAAACCATTTGCCCTGGTGCTGGTCCCTTGCTGTAACTTTGCTCTGCTCTCTGTCTCTCTCTGTCTCTGTCTGTCTGTCTGTCTGTCTCTCTCTCTCTCTCGTTCATCCCAAAACAAGAGCAACGACTGCACTGCTGATGGATGTACCCTAGAGCACAGGCTGCATCAACAGCGACAACTGACTCGCTGTGAATTTTACGACTTGGGAAGCCCTTGTGTCTCAGCCAGTTCGTTTTTTAAGCACCTGGAAGCTACAAGTGATGTAACATGTTCTCTTGATAACAAGCCAGAGACAAGATTAAATATTGGTCTTTCTCATGGACATTTAGCCAGAAGTCAAACATTACCTTCCCCCTTTACTATGGTGAAGTAAAATATTTGTATCAGATGGTTCCAGTATATTTCATCATCCCTAAGTTTTTGTTTTGTTTGTTTTTTTAGGGTTTTGCAGGGGTTGGCATAGGAACACTTCTGTCAGAACAGATCAATGCTGCTCATTAACTGATACCAGGGTTCTCAACAGTCAATATTAGAGACTGCCTTAGAAGCTCCTCTTGCCTTCCTCACACCACTTGGGGAGCAGAACAGACTGCATCACAAGTGCCAGTGAGGAAGAGAGGAGTTTTTGCACTTTCTGCAGACATCAGAAGTCTTCTCATAGTGTCTCAGGCAGTGTCCCTACCAGCTGGTAACCCACCTGCTGGCTGGCTCCTTGAAACGGGTTCAGCTAGTGAAATTGGAGTGGATTTCCAAGCCAAGATTATCCTGATCCTGCACTGGGAAAAGGTAGAAACCCTGCCCCTGAAAGGGGGTGGCAGAGAATATGGGGAGGTGCTTCTGGGTGCAAAGATTCTGGCTGAGCAGATGCATCTTTTGTTCAATAGCTGTATCTTACTGGATCATATTGCACTGTGTCCACCCAAAATTCACACATTAAAGTCCTAATCTCTAGGACCTCACAAAGTGCTCTTATTTAGAAACAGGGTTGTTACAGACGTAATTAGTTCAGATGAGGTCTTATTGGAGTAGAGTGGATCCCAACTCAATTATGACTGGTGTCCTTATACAAAGACACAGATACACAGGGAGAACATTATGGGAACATGAAGGCAGAGATCAAGGTGATGCTTCCACAAGCCGAGGAATGCCAGACTGTCAGGAACCACTAGAAGATGGGTGAGAGGCTCCCCTGTGGCCCTCTGAAGGAATCAACCCTGTGGACACCTTGATCTCAGACTTCTGGGTACCAGCAATAAATCTGTTGTGTAAGTCACCCAGTTAGTAGCACTTTGTTATGACAACCCTAGGAAAACCAACACAGACCATGTATCCAAAGTTTTGAGGAACTTAATATAAAGCTCTAGCAATCTGTACAATCCAGGAATGAGTTGCCAGAATAGAAGTTTTTACAGAATTCATCATAATTATTAATTCTCCTTACTGGGTGACACATTGCTTGTGTTTGTCTATTTCCACCCAACAAATACCATCGCTTGAGTGCCTCAAAAGAAACCAAAACAACAAACCAAAGAACAAACTCAAAAAAATAAAACTTAAGTCTTTCTGCACAATTCTTTCCAAAGCAGAGCATTTCCAAAGTGTAAAGATCAGTTAATGACTTCTCAAATTGCACATCTGATGCATTTTCTTCCTTGCCCCACAATAAATATTACTGTGTATCTGCTGTGTACCAGCCACACTGATAGACACAAGAGACCTGAAAGAGAGCAAAACAGGCAACCACCGTCTCCACAGTGGCCTATGTTCAGTGAGAACGATAGCAATCAAAGAATCACTCAAACATGTACAACTACAAACCATGACCACTGCAATGGAGGAAAAGTATCACCACACTTTGTACGCAGCTACTTTCCCTATGAACCCGTGGGCAGGCAGAGCTAGGCACACTCTGCGTTCCATGTGAAGGCTGCAATACTATGAGTTTTCTCCCATGAAAAGAAAGCATTGAATGTTACGTTCAGGGAACCAAACCACCTGCCAAAAATAATCATCTTAATAAAACAAAGGCCCCAAAATAAGGAGGGGATAGGCGCTAAATGTGGTCAAGAGAAGCAAAGAGGCCCACGGGACAAGGAGAGAGATAAGGAAATAGGAAACTCAGGACAACATGCTGACATCACGTCCCCCCACCCCCACCAGGATTCAAGAGTAAGAGGTGAGGACGTAAGCCCAGCGCTGTGAGCATGGCAGTGGTGAGTACATGTGGTCAGGCATGAGATTTTGTGCAGTTGAAAGCATATCACCCAAAATAAAAGCCTACCGTTGTTTGCAGCTCTGTCTTTTTAAACCGGAACATCGCCTTTCCACATGCTTCTTGCTTGGTACAGTCGTGATCACTTGAGCCTGCTGCCAAATGATGTAGCTGGTCACCAACAAAGCTGCCGAATGTGGCTAAAGACAGGGGAGAAAATCCACTGAATTAGTCCTGAACATTGCAAAAGTAGCTGCCTCTCTCAATTACTTTGTCAAATCTCATTATGATTGTAACTCTGATCACATGCAAGGTTTTCCCTTGGGTGGGGATAGAGTTAGGATCCTCCAAAGTGCCGGTATACCCCCCACCCCCGCCCCAGGCCACTATGGACAGGTCTGCAGCTGCTGTGTCACTTGCCCTTGGTGGAATTTAACAAGATAAACTGCTTCCTTGGCATTTATATTACACTTAGCATGGGTTATATTTACACCTCTTGCCTCTTGGTGATGACCAACTTGAATGATCTACTTTGAGATCTCCCAAAAGACTGAGGTGTAACTGATTTTAAAATATGAAAAGATAAACTCTTCTGTTTTCCAAAATAAATATTCGGGGAACACCTCCTCCGATAGCTGGAGGCCGGGTTAATGAGCAAGTAATACTAGTGGGGCAAAGAACTCCATCATGAAACAGAAATAAGCTTGCAGCTCAGCACAGAACTCTACTATGACCCTTGATTCATCCTTATCTGTGTTTGCATAATTCAAAAGCTTGGTTGTGACAGGTGGAGATGTCAAGCCATCCTCAGATGACCAGTTGCATCACTACAATGCTCAGGCAAATAATGCGAGAGGAAAACTATTTTGAATGCTATTATGTTAGATAGAGGAAAAAGAGAAGAAAAATATACTATCTGCAAATGAAAGAAAAGATCTGGGAATGGGAGTCAGTGGCTGGTTATAGCAATGGTTCTCAAAGTGTGGTCCTGGGAAGACCTGGGAATTATTTAGAAACACAAATTCACCACCCCAGACCTACTGAATCAGAAAGTGTGTGTGTGTGTGTGTGTGTGTGTGTGTGTGTGTGTGTGTGTGTGTGTGTGTGTGTGAGTAATCTATTATACGACGT